GTTCGATCGACTGGCCAGAATCTTGGAATGATAGATAGATCTGGTACTTGTGCTCCTTTAGGAACAAAGTCCCTCACAATAAGCTCGCCAGTTCCGCTGGCTGCCAGGAGCGGGGTTCGATGCGTCTGCTGCACCTTCAACAGGCATTGATGTACAACATCGTGCTTCTCCTTGGAATGCTCCTGAATGACTCGATAGCCATAGATGGCCGCATGACCCCAAATTGGGTCAGAGCAAACTTCTTTGAGGTGGATCTTGAATTTGGCCAACGGATTGTCATAGAAGGCATTGAAAGTATCTTTGCTAGTCAGGCGAGCATCACATTCCAGGACAATCTCACTGACGGCAGCCAAAGTGAGAGTGATAGATGGTGTCGGCAGTTTGAATGTGACTTCTGGCGTGATGACCAACAGGTGTACTTGCCGCTTGTACTCCTGATTCATTGCTGGGTCAAAGACGATGACTTCGAAAGGGCCTGTCAAATTGGCCAATTTCCCCAGTGCATCCATTGGGTCAATCATTGGCAGCAATAGTGCACAGGGCTCCTTGGGCACGACCTCTTTGGCTTGCTGAAGATTACCTTTGGACACGAAGGCGATCCCACCCTTGTTGGTGGAAAGTTGCTGTTTTTGCACGAAGGGCACCGGGGTCTTGTTCTTGTCAACGAAAGGATGGTCAGACTGCAGCTGGAGATCCTCCCATTTACTCTGTCGCAGTGTTTTCTGTTTGGTGGTCCACGGGTCGTCGAACTGCCACGGATCTGGGGTGGCCATCGCAGTATCCGGCGAGGCCGTCCCTTCCATTCCTCCAAGTGACAGTGCAGAGCATGGGTGGAGCAGTTGTTGCCCACCAACAACAAGGAAGAGCCTTCTCATGTTTTCAGCATAAGTCCGCAGCATAGGTGGAGCACGTGTGGCTCTCCAAGCTTGATTAGATTCTTCAAGGATTTGGTCAATGAGCTGCCTCTTTTGTTGTGGAATGTGAAAGGTGTCAGGCAGTGATACATCGACAACAATCCAACGGTGAAGCAATTCCCAACCACACATGCCCGGCCACGTTCGGCTAGTGTCCACAATGATGATTGGACGAAACCCAACAGGGACGATGAAGTCCTCCGCAAAACTTGCCCAGAACCGTTGGTCTCTCGGTGGCACTTGGAGGAAGACGACTCTACACGTGTGTTCTCTGGCATTGCAGATGACCTCAATGCCAATCCAGTGCCCTTCTCGGAGTGCAACGAATCGCTGTACATCCTCATATAGGGGCTTGACACTGGCTGCAATGATTGACAAATCATGATGCAAAACCGGTGGACAGAAGGATTCGGGTAAAAAGAAGGCCATTGCAAATTCAATCTCATCATTGGAGGCCCACCCAGGGTGGGTTCTATAGATATTCAATCTCATGTCCAACCATTCATCAGCAACAAAGAAGATCTCATTGACGCTGTAGCGATATGGGGGCCTTCCCGTGGCACGAACGCCCAGATCTTCCGCTCGACTTGGTGCTTCCAGAATAGCAACCAGAAAAGCGTTCCTGCTTGCTCTGGCAAATTGGAGCATTCTGTCATCAACCTGTGAGTCTCTCCAAACCAGGTCAGCTTGGTCGATCACCTGCATGACATGATGATTGTTCTGAACACGTTGAAGTCGCTGAGTTGTTCGATGTGTTTGTGGGAGCAAAGGTGCTCCAGCCCGGGCATAGAAGCTTCTGAGTGTATACCACGGAGCTAGGTCCGAGTCTTCTGCAGTTCGAATCCAGCGAAAAGCCTTCGGCAACACTTGGACCCCCATGAAGTGGATGAGCTCAAGCACGGCTTGACGTTGTCTGTGCGTCAGTTGTTCTGGGGAGTGGTAAAGGACCCTCCATTGCCCTTCAAAGAACCTCACCTCGACAAAGATCCAATCAAAGAGGACCAAAATTGGTACTACGAAGTGCTGGAAGCAGAGCAAAAGATCCGCAGGCTCAGGAGGGAATCGGAATTGCGCTTCATTGCTGATCCAGATGGCAGGAGGGCACCAGCAAACTGAAGGCATCAACATTTGCAGGAAATCGAAGTGGAAGACAATCTCGTCAATTGCAAGTGCTCCTGGTTCGAGGTTAAACTGAAGCATCCTTTCTGTAACTCGATCGCCAAGGATATTGCAGCTTGGGTGGTCAATGAGTCTGTCCATGCCACCAAACACAATGGATGATGCATTCTGCACTCGCGCATCACACCAGAGTAGATCACCATTGATCAGCATCAGAGGTTGTTCTTGTCGGCAATGCACAAGATTGCGCTTGATAATCTGACAGTTCTGCTGGAGTTCAATAGTGCATTGAGTCGGAGTAACTCCCCGCGGCACTTTGCTGATTTTGCACCACTTGAGGTCGGAACCACCCGCCAGCAAAATCCACTTGTCATTGGAAAGAGGCTCATACTCACCCCGGATGGCGATGATAACTTGTGTTCCCAACATGACTCGACAGGCCTCACGATTGACTTGGAAGAAATGGACAGAGTCTCCTTGATGTCGAAAGGTTGGAATGCTGCCGATTCGGTCTAAGTTGGCCTTGCTGATCCATTCAGAAGACCCATCTTGCAGTAGGAAAAGTACTTTACCAACATGCAATGGGCTATCATCTTGGCAGAGGTGTTCAAGCACATGTAGAAATCCATTGCAGTGAGCATCAACAAGGTGGTCCAGCTCCGGATCAGCTTCATCAATGTTCCATGGTTGCGTAGGCGACACAATGGGGTCTTCCAGCATTCCATCTCTGTTCATACAGAAGACTCTCAGTGTTCCCAGATCTGCAGTTCCGAGTCTTAGTCCAAAATCTCCATCTGACAACTCGTTCCATCCAATGCTGCTTGGTAAGTCTCGACCATCACGAACAAGCTTGAGCAATTCCGCATGATGTGACTCAAGCTGAAGTGCCATGAGTAGCTGGTCAATGATATTGATGTCATCTTGCATGTTGATTGGGATGAGTGCGGCATCATCACAAAAGCGAATCAAAGTGTGTCCAACGAGCCAAGGCTGCCAAGTCCCAATACTTGGGATAGCTTTAGTCGCAAAGTCAGCAATAGGCTGGAGTACATACATATCACCACAGGTGCGGACAATTGCGTTCTGGGATGTCAGCCTATCTTCCCAGCACTGTCGGAGAAGCGTCAACTTGGACATTTGCTCATCAGAAACTCCTTCAAGGGCAAATAGGAAGGCCACTAGGGCATGCAACTGCGAAATGGCATTCCCCAACTGATGAAAGGCGCGACGAATATCAGTTGGTAACCCAATGCAATCCGAAGTACCAAAGAGCGAAACAAAAGCAAAAGGGTCAATAAACCGAAATTCATCTCCTTTGTGCAGCAACGTAGCAAAAATGCCCTTTTCCTCCACATGCTCACGTTGTAGAAGATGTTGTGCAGTATAGGAAGCGCACAGAGTGGGCAAGTATTCACCTTGCTGTAACAACCTTGCAGAAAGCACTTGTGCAGCAGTTGCTACCTCACCAACCCGGGCCCGCTTAGCAGGAGGTAGCAACTTCTTGTCTCCGTAGATCTCAATCAACTCACTCTGTAAAGTAAGGTCAGCGGACAAGGCTTTGGGCAAGGCAAAAAGATGCCGTGCATCGTCCCATGCCAGTCGTCGAGGAATGTTGCACATTATCTTCTCATATGACCTCTGACACTTCACGTCTGTTCGAGCCCATACTGCGAGCCACCGTGTCCTGTGGTTGCCAGTCAGTTGATGGATGGCTACATCTTGTGACCAAATCTTGACATACCCAGCTAATTGGAGTCCGGCTGAGAGAGCACGCCAATGAGGATGCGCCTCAATACCATCCGAACATTCAAAGAGTGCCAGTACAGGCCTGCAGCGAGCAACATGTAGAATTGCATCGAGAAAGAAGAACCCTTCTTCTGTTGCCAGCCCGGAATTCTTGCCACCTTTGCTCCAGCTAGGGCATGGAGGAGATAATGTCAGGACTAAGTTTGACCTGTTCGATGAGGCACGAAGGATCGAAGGATCACTGATGTTTGCCAGGATTCCATTATACACGTCCGGGGGATTGTAGTTCACCTTGATTGGACAGCACCAGAACTCTTTGTTGTGATTATATGCCCACGTTTTCATGACTGCCGGGCACCAGTCTATTGAGGTGTGCGATGCAAAAGCCTGCCCGACATTGGCTTGTTGGAGCCAACTCATCGATCTCAGCCAACCTTCGTAAGCACCTGAGAAGAGATGAGAAACGTTCCAGGCAAGGTTCAAATCAAGCATCGAAATGTTCCAAATCACCGCTTGCTCATCAGCAATCACCGTACCAACCACCGGTCGGTGAGACGGCTTCGTGAGGAGGCCAAGGAACATTCCAGGTGTAAAGTCAACCCGTGCATGGTCTGCCTGACAACAAACCTCAAATTGTTTCCAACCATCATTGGCCATCAAGTCGTCATTGAGGAGCATGGAGGTTCTGCGCACATGTACACTTTTGGGCGGACCACAACGTACCTGCACAACCTCACCAAAGAGAACCCACTCAGCAAGCCCGTCATTGCATACACCGGTGGCAGCTATGGCCTTCAAAGCATCCTGGACCGAAACCGCCAGGCTTGAAGGCAAGCTCGCAGTTGCCCAGTTCATCAACGCACCATCTGCTCGTAGCTCATGTGTTGATCCCATTTCCTTAGTATCCATGGCACTGCCCAGCTTGTGGAAGCGAGGCTCTGTGGACGCTGGACCCCTCCACGGCAGGAGGTGACCCAGCCCCGGCGCGTGCCGGCGCGTAAGCTGAGTGGGCTTGATCCAAACAGCTGCGGGGGAGCTTCCTTGAAGAAGCGTGAGCTATCTTGCTTCCATGTGTTATCAGCTCAAGTAGCTAGTAGCCTCCTTCCTTACTTAATTAAGCAGGCACCCACTTAATTGAGTAGGGGCGGGCTTAAAAAAGGAAAGCAAGAGGTCACTGTCCGTAGGTGTTTGATGTTCTTCTCGTCCGCGAACCAGCTCGAGGTGCAAGCCGCCCTGGCGCATTTGCGCGTTGAAGATGAAAGACGGCACCTGTGGCTTGGATTTTGGGAAGGGGAGGACGTAAACATGCGCAAACTGTCAGTTCTTGTCAGTTCAGGTCGAGTGGTGTTGATTCAAGGGAGGTGAATCGGTGTGTTCATGGACTTTGCTTCGATCTCGGTCCAGCTGTCCGAGGGACCGAGCGGTCCGGCTGTTGGGGGGACGGAGAGAGCTCCTGTGAGGTTTGGCGCTGCTTCCATCGGAGGTGCAGCCAGCATGGAGCTTGTCGTTGTGGTTGGAGTATGTGGCCCCGTGCTGGTCGATTGCGCAGATGGCGCCACTGTGCTTAGTGCAGAAAGACAATGCCAGCCCCAAAGGCCAGACAAGAATCTGTATATATATACACACACACATATATATATATATGTCTGCCATGCTGTCGTTATTCAAAAGAAGCGCTCACCTGAAGGTGATAGACATCAAGCGCCACCCACCCATGGGAAGTGTGAATGACTGATGACTGATGATATGTGGACACCAGCAACAATGGTCTCGGTTTCTCCAAGAAGACTCGGGAGACATCAACAAGGTCAAAAAACACTCCAGTCGGAACATATCCGACAGAACATGGCCCCAGTCGGAGTCCTAGGAGGCAGGCGACTCTTGAAGGAGGCCACAGTATGGGTGATCACCCCAGCGGGGCCTGGATTCTGCACCAATTTGTTACACATGGGCATTCGCACTCGTTCAGACTGTCAGATGGTTTTCACTTGGAAGACGCCACACAAAAGCACATGGATGGACGGACTGCAGCAGGTATACTGGCAAAAATAGTTCATCCGTTGTTTCTTGCCTGGAAAGGAAAGCATCCCCAAGTCTCAAAAGGGCTATAAAATCATGCCCCGTTGTCTGATGATTCCTTGTTGAAAGATCCCAACATGGCCGGGTTAAGAATCACCAAGACCATGTGTTGAAGCTAAAGCCATGCGTTGATCCCGGAGAATTCCCAACTCTGAACTCTCCATTCCGCCCGACGTCTTGGCCAGGTAGTGCCCGACGTCTTTGTGCGATGTCTCCAGCAGTTGCAGGAGGGTGCAGAAGAAAGTGAAGCGGCCAAGCCAGGCGGGCACGAGCCTGCGGTGCTTTTTGCAGCTTGCTTCCGAGCCACCTGAAAGCCCGAAAGCCCCTTCTGTTTGGAGGACGCATCACGAAACGAAGACTTGATTATACTTGATTGCCGCTTTTTTTTTTGGGGGGGGGGTGGATGAAAATCAGGGAAGTAAATAGATGGCGCACCCAGTGACCCAGTTCGAGAATGACCCAGTGGACATCCGCGGACTCAGAAGAAGAGCAGACGCAGCAGTTTCCTCGTGGGCACGGAATGGATGAGCAGCACGCAGAAACAAAGAATCTTAGAGAATCAAGCAACTCTGGAAGAACCTCGACACATATCATATGACTCATGCCACTCATGTCTCAATCTCAGAGGGTGAGCCATATTGTTCCAGCTTCTTTCTTTTTGAGTCATATTCATCAGGCCCAGTGAAGCGCCCCTCGTCTGCACGTCCATCAGGCGGGGTGAGAAGACGAAACGCACTATATACTTAGAATTAATGCCGCGGCAGAGGCATTGCATCCATCGTGTTGATGGTCTGCAAGGTGTGCGCGGACCCACGGTTTTATGTGGTCCTTACGCAGAAGATGTGGACAAGTGGACAATGCTTGGTGCTCCAATCCCAAGTTTTGGCAGCGCCCCGTCACATGATAGTTTGTCAAAGAGTCAACAGGAGGCTGGGTTTGCGGGGGTACACCGAACTAACAGATGGAAGTGGTTGGCATGGCCCCGTAAAGAAACAAAGCGGGTTTATCTACTTCATGCTAGTTCCGGGGAGTATCTCCTTCCACAGCACCGCACTTGTTCTTTCCGGCAGATCACCACTGTGCGTGGCTCAGGTGGGCAGATGGCCTCAGCCCCTACACCGCCGGCACCGCTGGTGGTGCAGGACGGGATTTGCGTGAAGTGGAGATGCATCACGAAGCAGATGATGTGGAGAGGAATCACATTTGTATCTCCTGTGAAGATCGCTTGAGAAGGCTGAGTCTAGAGGCTGGGCCGATTTTCCCCCGTCTTCGTTTTCTAATTTAGGGTCTCAACGGCCGTGCTGGAGACATCACGGTCAAATCACGGTGAACCACGGGAAGTGTTACTGTAACTAGTCTCTACATGTGTATATATATAATATTATATATATATGTGTGTGTGTATATATATATATACACATTTTTTCACATACACATACATACACAGATACATATACAATAATTACCGTTGGAGCTTTGGCTCAAGAACTGCCCCACCTTTGACGACCAAGGGGTTCATCCATCCAGCGTTTGAACTCTAAGCCTGATCCTTGATACCCTTCCTTGCAACATCTTATATGTGCACTACACGTCACCAGACCCTCAGTTAGCAAGACCCAGCACCATCATCTCATGACCTGCGTGTGCGCCACCGCGCGTCCGGCTCACGCATCGCATGAGCTTCCAGTTGTTTTCGTTTCCTCCTCCGGCCGAGAAAAAGGCACACATATATGACAAAAACCAGTTTGGGAATGAGAGCTGTTGCGCCTCACCTACAAAGGGCCTGGGTGGGTTCCCACGGACAGTCCACTCTGTCTATCTCCTTTCTGAACCAGGTGGGTTGAAAACGGTGAAGCCCACCTCTTTGGACTGCATGAAGCCCGTGCTTTTTGTGGATGGGCTGGACCCCCCATTTGGGCGCCAGGAGCCTTGGGTGGCGGAGCCAGTGGCATTTCGCGCACGGCCGGTCGCCGCTCGGCGGTTGGAGTTCTGCCGATGTGAATTGGTTCCTGACTCGGAATTGGTCGAGAGTTGGTTGAACATCCAGTTCTCGGGAGCGATGTCTGAGGAAGGCCGAGATGGCTTTATCCCCAGGACCAGGCACGGTCAGCCCTACTTTACTGCTTGTTGGGCGGTTTGGATTGCTGCGCGGTGGCCGGGACATGAATGCGTCCCGTTCTGGAACTCTTCCACCATCATAAGGCACATTTTAGCCAATCCCTGGTTCAGTGCACTGATCACTGGATCCATTCATGGCGGCAACTGTTGAGATGTTGCCCTAAGCCCTGCTCTACTTCCAGGCTGGCGGCGTCCTCCAGCCCCGCCCGAACTGCATCGGTGCCGGTGCGGGCAAGTGCCTCCAGCCAACCCCCAAGTGGCCTGGGGAAGAATGGCGCATGTCCAAGCTTTGCAAACATGGACAAAACTTGGTAGGCTAGCCGGCTAGCCTGTTTTGGTTGGAGCAGTGCTCAATCAGACGGCATGCGTTTCGCAGTCACTGATGAACAGTGAAGAATTGCATAAGAATAAAGCAGTAAAGTCACAAGAAGGAACCACACGGAAAGACATTAAAATAGTAGTAGTGTGGCCAAGTTTTGTGATGATGGTTTCTGCTTCAACGCACTGCCCATGCGCCCAAAAGCTGCTCCAAGAAAACTTAAGGTCCAGTCTACTACCAGCTACCAGGATCCAGTTTACAGCTGGGCACTTCCCTAAAGTAGTTTGGGGGTTTGACCCCCCCACTCTACCACGATCCAGTCGACGGTCCTTGTTTGGCACGTCTTTGGGTTTTCGCTCGTGATGCGTGTTGAGGCTCGGGTTTTCTGAGCGCCAGCGTGGATGCTGGAGCACCTTTGCCCCTGGGACCGTGCTGACGAGTCGAATACATGCTATCAGCTGCCATCATGCATGTTTTTCCACTTCCATATTTGTGGAGACATGTGACATTGGAATACATTGGGTAGATTGAAACATTACCTGGGACATATGAGATATTGGATGAATGTTTCTTCCGTAGCCCCCACCAAACGCTGGGCTTGTTCCTGGACACCCAGGGCGTCGCGGAGTGCACCCCACCTGTTTGGTGGACTTTTCATGGTCTTCCCTTAGAAAGGGCCAGCCACGAATCCACCTTCCTGAGTGTTTTCATTTTTTCCCGAGACTTCCGGCTCCTGGATGAGATACTATAAGTATATAGACAGATTCATGTACTACTTTGCATATACATAGTTGTATATACAGGTGCGTAAAAAAAACACACACACACACACATATATATGTATATATATATATATTTGTGCACATGTATCAAGCCACGCGCTTGTTGGAAGTCTAAGGCCGCAAACGGTTTGCGCTACTCCTCGCCAGGCTGTGGCTTGGCCAAAGCGCCCAGGCAGTCGGTGAGTCTACTTGGGTCAGATCAATGGGTAGAACTGGATGAACAGCAGGACTATGTAGAGGGATATTGTAGATAGTAACAGGGAAAAAACTACTAGCAATGGGGACCGCAACCAGCGATGTCCTCCAGTTTACTAGCGATGGCCTCCACCCTAATGGAGGGATATTAGATCGTAAGGACTAGGACAACAGCTGTCTGGACATCGCCGTACACCAAACTCAGGAAGGTGTCCTGGTTTGTATCTAGGACCTTCAGTCAGCGTTCTGCAAGCGATCTGGTCATTCATCACTGGTGCCGCCATCGCCCTCGGGAAAGATCGAGTTTTTTCTTTTTTTTTTTGATTTTTATAAACCTTCTCTTAAGCTTTGGGCACACTGGTACCGATCATCCAGACCAACGGCACAGGGGGAAATCCGGTTCCAGTCTGCTTTGGATTTCCACACCCAGGTGAATTCAGGTGGTGGGGACATCCCCCCTAGTGACCTAGTGGAGCGGTTTAGATGACACAGTGATCGAACTGGATGTCATTTGGTCCAAGTACTCTCCCACTTCAGATTCACAGACCGATGTGGGACCGTCTGTGGGTGGGGCTTTTCGGTTCTTGGACTGGCGACTTGTAGCTCAGGTGGCTGGCACTTGGTACCAAATGTCTCCCAGACAGACGAGTTGGCCAACGCAGCCTGCGGCGGGCTTGCATTACAAAACATTGTAAGAGAGTTATTCTTTTCATCTCGTGTGTGTCGTTTGGCAGGCCTTTTCAGGAGATGCTTGGGCGCTCTGCCCGGGAAATCCCGGTCAAAAGGCTTTCAGATCTTCCCAAGGTGGTACAGCATGTGGCATTCTTTCCGGGAGACATGGCCCCGACGCCTGCTGAGGATCTTTGTAGCCCCCGCGATGTGCCCATAGACTGGAGTCATGCAGTTTCCCAGAGGTGGGCATAGTATGGACCTGCAGCACTGCGATCCTTTCAAGCTTCAGCGAGAAGACTACTGTGTTTCGGGTTTCTGCCAGGTTCTTGCTGGTTCTTTTGATGTGTTGGGTCGGGACATCAGCCGATCTTTCATTCAGCCACCCCAGGACCTGCAACAAAAATAATCCAACCCAACAACTGATATCACCTGGCCCCAGGTATATACTCTACTCACCTCTCCATTTGATTTTTGTTCATCTTAGTTCATCTGCGGGGCCTAAGGCCCCAGTGGGTTAAGCTAGAGTCTACTCCACGCCTTTTGCAGCATTAGGGCAGTTGGATCATTCATCATGGCCATCTTGGAAGTTTTCCGCCAAGGGGAATGGCCGAAAAACCTGCGTGGCAGTTCTCCAAGCATCTGATTGTTCTTTTTGTTTTTCACTCAGGTGACTCCCCGGATCTGGCGCCCAGTGGTGACGCTCCCAGCACCTCGGCGCGACAGAAGGTCGCAGGTGGCGAGGGAAGTTGGAGGAGGTAGGAGGCCGCGTTGATCTTGCGAACTCTTTCTCCTAGACTCAAAGAGCATGTCTTGCGCCGTGCGTGCGATGTCCTCAGTTTCAAGCGAGACCATGTTTGGAGTGTAGCATTGTATGCAGTACGCCTCCACCCACGACTGTCGTCCCGCACGGCCGTGTTTTAGGCTCACCCATCACCGACAGCGAGCGCCGTCGGCTCAGCGCCAGCCCCGGTGACGCAGCCAGCATTGATGACACAGGCCAGATTGATCCATGGCAACATGAGACTGTGAGACAACCAACCAACGGGGAATGAAGGGGGAAGTGAGCGGCGCACTTTCTGTTCTGCGACCTTCCGCTTTCAAGCGGGCGACGGGAAACAACAATGGTCACCACTCTGAAGCTAGAAGCTTGGATACTTTATATACTCGTCATTGATCACTGCACGATGTTTACTTTTCATCAACCCTTCTACAAAAGAGTCGCTCCAGTTTTCTCGTCTACTTTTGACGACAGCAGGCAGACAGCTCCATGAGCAGCTCAAAGCAGATCTTTCCTCCCGCCAGGCGCCGATGTACACCGTTCCGGCAGTGGTGCCACCTGGCGTTTTTACGCGAACAGTCGCGAACATAAACTCGAAAACGGCGGTGAGGGCCAGAGAGGTTTTCATGAAGGGGCGTGGCTCCGCCGGAAGGGGACTGGGGGCTCCAATGCCTCTCCTGCTCTGAAAAGTGCAAGAATGTATGCCTGGTTAGTCAGCTAGTCGTGCTGAGGACACAGCCAGCGTGGGGACATGCGCCGCATGCGCATGTGGTGCACCTTGGTGGCCTAATTTGGGTCCCCGGCAGTGTGGGAAAGAAGTAGAAAAGTATCCTTTCCTTTTCTCCGTCTTAAATCTTTTTATAGTGTAAGGCTCACACTTAGAATATTTTTAGTTCCAAAAATCATCAGACATAAATAGTGCCAGAGAGCGGGGTGACAGATGAGCAAAAAACCTTGCACTTAGAATACGACATGCAGATAGAATATTGTTTTCTTCTTGATCCATTTGATGGAACAATGTCTTTCCAAGAAAAAGGGCAACATTCAGTTCAAACTTCAAACACGTGTTGCTGCAATGGAGGATCTTTTGTCATCTTTTATTCTACTGTAACTGCTTCCAACTGCCTTTGTTCTAACCGCATACTACTCTAACCCTGCATATTGTTTTTTGAGGGTATTCTAACTGCAACTTATTTATGTTTGAATATTCTAACTGTTGGTCTTATACTATAAGGGATCTTCATGTAATCTGAATGGGAGTCAAAGTCTTTAGCACCCCACGCTCACATGTCCATCACTTTATGGAGGTTATCTATGTGTGTTTGCAGATCACACACGCATATAACATATATTTAGACACATACACACACAAGATAGATATATAGCTACTAGTTCAACCCCGCGGGCTTTCATCTTCATTAGACGTACTGTAATGTCCAGACAACCCCCGCTCGCCAGTGTGGAAGCGGAACATGGCCGAGCCATGATTTGACATGCATCCTTTTTTTTGGGGGGGATGATCCAAATGGCTCCCCTCCATGGAGAGGAACTGGTCAGGCGGGGTCAGTCGGATGAGCCCTCCTCTTGGAGTCAAAGGCATCCTCAACCGGTGACCTGGGTCCAACGATGAGGTGGGAGACGGGAGCTGAGACGGAGCTGTTAACGCTGTCGCTTCGTTGGTCGATGATGAATGTGAAGTGAAGGGCCTTGGGTGAGGTGGGGAGGTCATCATCCAAACCTCCCAAGGAAAGGGGTAAAGGATGGTGCAAGTCATGTTGGTGAAGGACCCTCTTCATTCTGTTGGTTCTGACGGTTGTGTCGTGCTGTGTGATGGTGGGATGAGTCCGCCCCTAGTGTGGTCGGCAGAGTGGGAATGCAGGTCGGCTCGCTTGATCGGACTGGGCAGTGGGCACTTGACTAGCTTCGTGTGCAGAGATACTGTAGGTGAATCGTATGGAAGCGGTTTGCCTTAAGGGGCCGCGTTTGAGACATTGTCAGCGCTTTGAACGGAGGGCTCCATATCATGCACTGAACACGTGCGGTCATTGTGCAATTGCACCGGAAGCTGCCCATGGCTCAGATTGAAGAACCATTGTAGAAGCAGACCCGAGCTGGTCAAACAAGGAATTTCTTATTCTCTGTTTTGCATCCAAGGCATCTTCTTTTGACATAGGATACAGGCGGCAAGCCGCCAAACAAAAGCACCCAAGGATAGCAAGCTAATTACAGTAATACCCCAGAACCGCATTCTGGGAATGCAGAACGGCATCTGTTGAACCGAGCAGTTTTAGAGTTTATCGCTTTTGAGCTGAGCTTTGGTGGTGCTTCGTGCTGGCGCTTGGCTGGCTCGCTGCAAAGTGTTCTCATGAGCGAGAAATGGCTTTCCGGGAGCCCAGGCTGGAGCGAGTTCGGAGAGCATCCGTCGATGGGGAACGAGCACGGAAGAAGTCGTGAGGTGTGATGAAGTGAAAAGGGTGGTGCGACCTCTGCACCGTCCGGGCCACGGAGGTGTTGGATCAGGTGGACCTAGATAGAAATTGAATCACCAGCAAAGCTGCAATTCTCTGTGCGGTAGAAACAGACAATTTTAGGGCTCTGATATAATGATGGATAAGGATGGATGGCTTCCAGATGAGGATGAGGATCAGTGTGCTATTCTTATGCGAGAAGAACTAAAACCGAATTGGCAGTGCCCGGGGTATCCGAGGGAAGGATGGCCTGCGGGATTTGTTCAGTGGCATGGTCTCTGGCTTCATCTGCAAAGTTGTGGAGTACCCGGCTGACACCATCAAGGCCAGAAGATCAAGAAGACTCAAGGAACTGGGCGGGGCTCCTGGATTTCAAGGGGTTAGATGCAGAAGGGCCTTTGGCCAAGTGGAATTGGGGCTGTCCCCAGAATTTTTCCGTCGCTTCTCTTGGGTGAGGTCCCTTTGTATAAAGGTTTGTGGGTGGGGTTTTCCATTCCTCTCCTCAGTCCCACTGCCGTTGAGGGATTCCACCGACAGCCGGCAGGTTGCCTGGATTTTACAGCCCAGCAACCAGTGGAGTAGGCAGTGGATGGATTGAACACCCCCCCTGTGGTTGGGTTTGGGCTGTGAAAGTTTGCTTCTTAGGCTTCATGTAGCTTCATGCGCAAAGAACACGTCGCGGAGCTCACCCGAAGGGCTCCAGTTGGTGATCTCGAAGGGACACCCACTTTGGCTTTTTCGCCACATCAAGCCCACATCATATCCGCACGTGGCACACGTGTTTTTTGAAAAACATAAGCAGATGCAAGATTCTTGATGCTTTGTGACACGTTGTGGGACCCGCCTCTCTGATGCATTGCCCGCAACGATGAGATTTCACGTCCCTTCCGCTGGCCGCTCCTTTCGCGTCGGCTCCGATCCAGGTGCTGGAGCAGACTGGTGGGAGCCGCTTCTCTGGGCCCTTGGCCGCTGGCCTTGAGAGATGATCAGACCATCTGAGTGCTTTAGGAGGTGACTGGGGTTCGGTCAGAGTGTGCTTCTTTTTTTGTTGAAGTCATGTGAGGCTGCCCAACGGAAATCGGATCAAGCAGGGGTAAACATTCTCCTGTTTGCTATCGTGGAGCCTCGGTGGGGTTGAGTTCCTCACTGCTGGCAGGTCCTTTTTTCCCTCACTCGTTCGCAGAGTTTGGGGTGAAAGAATCCGGGGAAGTGTCACAGGTATTCCTTCTCCATCGGCGGTCGATATCAGATCCCCACCCAGAGACCAAAAAGGCCGATAGGCAACGATCCTGGGATGAAGTTGATCAAACTCCCTCCAACATTTTCTTCCATATCACGAAATCCAGTTGCACATCAAACATTGCATACCTGCATCTTCACATGATGCGCCCAATTCTCCCGTTCCTTTTCGTTTTTTGGGGGAGCTTTTTTTTCTGGGAATGTGCTCTTCTGTGCGGTTGAGGATTGCTTTTCCAAGACCTTGGCCGAGTCCGGTTTCTTCTCACTCTACCGTGGCCTCTCTGCTCCCTTGCTGGGCTCCATGGCGGAGTGCGCCAGCCTCTTCGTCTCCTACGGCTATGTGAAGAAGTTCCTGGGCGTCGACGAGGAGGCACCGAGTTTTTCTTCTTCTCGAGAACGCTCGCTTGGCCCAAACGCCGGCCCAAGGACCACGGACTTGGGCAGCTGGACATTGGGGACATTGATTGCGTCCTTGGGATTCTGAGTCCACAAAGTTCGAAAGTTTCTCGATCGTCGATCTGTTGCATGCAACGTGTGGTGACGTGTCGTGTCCTTTTTCGAGCTTCCTCCCACCGGGTTTGGACTGCGAGTCATTACCCAAAACTGGGACGTCTTACTATCGGGCCAGGCGGCGCCAGGCTGCTTTGATTCATCAACGCGAAAGCCTCAAGTGTCCCCCGAAGTGGGTCATTCGTCAATTTCTATCCCCCCATTCACGAGCATGCTGCCCATCGGCAACAATCCTTTCCGGTCTCAAGCAGTGTGTGGCGGGGGCTCTCAGTGCCTCTCTCGGACGGCGCTGTCCATCGCTGTCTGACCTTCTCCGCCCGGACCAGGCGGCCACGTTGAGTGCTCCAGTGCCCTTCTGGAAGCTGGTGCTCGCTGGGGGTGGCAGTGGCTTCGCCTCCACCTGCGTGTTGACACCTGTGGAGCTCATCAAGTGCAGACTGCAGGCACAGCTGAACCAGCCGACGACCAGCCAGAGCTACCGAGGCCAAAGTCACTGTGTGGTGTGGGGAGTTCGGGGAGGAGATGCAATGCCCACGTAGAATTTTCCGGATTTGCTTAGCTTTATTCAGGGTATAATTACTAATCATATGTCGACATTAGGGCAGAGACCACAAGCACAGGCAGGTTTTTGATTGTTTGTTGGGGACCACTCTTGGATGTGCTGCAGTTAGGGCCTTAGGGCCTTAGGGAACGTGGGAAAGTCCATCGAAAGGCAAGTGCCGCTGCCTGTTTGAGTGAGATGAACGAATCACCATGGGCCTTTTTGCGAAAGGGCTAGTGTTTCCTATGTGGACTTCATATCATGTTATGGTGATGAGGGTGATACAGGTAGAGGAAGATTGGCTGCTGGGTGATTTGGTTATCCACATTTGCCATCCAGTGGCTGAACCACCTGCGTGATTCGATGCTTGCAAAGCTGGAGTTGTCTCAATCAACAGAACCAAACACACTGGAAAGAGTTGCCTTCTATGCGGCAGACCACAGGTTTTGAGCACCTCGCGTGCGCGATAGCCTTCGACAATGTTTGTCCAACGTTCACTTGGTTGCTGTTGACATTCCTACTGCTGCGTGCCATAGTTGGTCATAATTGTGAAGATGATGTGGCACTCATGCGTTAGTTGAAAAAATCTAGTTTACGGGTACCGCCACACCGGGGCGTCGTGGACTGTTTCTTTTTTGGGTGCTCGAAGCTCGGGATTGAAGTGCGACTAGATGAAGCTGTCGGCTTCGTTAGCGGCCCACGTTTTGGGTTATACTAGGGTGAAAGGACAGGAGTTGTGAAAAGTATCTCCAGTTTTTTGTGGCTAAGTCATGAGGTTTGGCCGGGGGGGTCCGCAACTCCTATGTCATGGAGCTAAAACCTCAAAATCAGAGATGTCAGAGCATACATCAACGATCTGTCAAATCGTCGATTTTACATGAAAAAAGTATAACATACATCAATAAACAATGACCTTCTATCCCTTGACGGTTGGAAGCATCAGAGCTGGCTCGCAGCCTTTTCGGGTCAAGGAATGGTATCTTGGGCCCTGGTGGACGCAGTCCGGGAGCTGCGTTTCTGGTCCACCTCGTCGTCCAGCAGTTGCCCCTGGGGAGTGGTCATTTTGTGCGGAGTGATCCTAAGCTGCTTTTGTTGCGGAATTGGTTTCATCCTGGGATCCATCGTGTTCTCATCTCCGATTCGCAAATTCCTGTGCCAAGTGCTGCAACTCCTTTGTGCATCCTGGGCTGGGCAGAATTTTGGCTTGGATCACCGGGGCCGCATTGCTGAGTATCGTCGAAACTAGTGCATGTCATCCGAAGCAGTCGAATCAATCACTGTTAGGCTGGCAGGACTGGAACTGACGATCACAGCACGACCGATCTCATCTGGACCTTCAGCAGTTCAAGATCATTCCCAGCGTGGCATCCATCGGGTCTCAGTCTGCCACGCCTTCCCCAGCCAGGCTGAGGCAGAGGCATACGTGGCAGGCGCTGGGGAACCATGGCCTCAGCGCAGGGAAGAGTGAGGACGCCCTTGACGGGCGATGGGATCCGAAAGCTTCGGGCCGATGCGTCAGAAGCCTCAGTGGTCCCAGCAGTGCATGTTCCAATTCAAGGCGCCGAGCCACCGGATCGCTAGGGTTTATGACCGAGGCGGGCTCAGCAGGCAAACCGTCTGCAGAGTCAGTGGCCGCTTTGGCCCGCCAGTGGATCGACGACATGGATCCCCAGACTGCTCAGGAGTATCTCAGTGCCGAAGAGGGGCAGCCCATAGATCCAAACGATCCAGACATCATTGCTCAGCTTCAAGCTCGCATCATAGAACTGGAGTCGGAAGTGGAGCGCAGCCAAACCACAGTACCACTGCTTCCCAGTCGCAGTGTAGGGACTCCGAAGCATGGTCCAAAGGCTGCGGGGTTGTTCCAGGGCGGGCCGACGAACCTGTCAGCTGCGGATTGGGCCAAACTCAAGACTCTTGCAGGGTCCCCACCTCCCAGAGTTGCATCAGCAGAGCATCGACGACCGCCTCCCTCCCCCAGCCGTCCAAAGCCAGGAGTCTCTGTACGTGGACTTGGAGCGCGAGGCAGTGGAGGAGGACTTGGGACATCAGGTCGACCCTCTACAACTGTTAGCTCAGGACCCCAGTGCCGATCCGATCCAATCAATGCTTCTGGCCTCCTTGCAGCAGAATCAGATTTTGTTGCAAAAGTTGGTTGGCAGCCGGACGAACGACCCTGTTCTGAAGGCTCTGGGCGGAGGAGGATCGGACAGCGCCTCCGCCGGGTCATCAAGCGGCGTGCGCGGTTGTTTGGCCAGGGATGTTTTCATCCGAGCAGTTCAGGACCTGCCGACGGTGGCAGCAGTGGTTCGTGCTGCAGCCATCAAAGAGCTCGGCCTGAGCCCTGGCACCGAGGACTCCAACCTGTTGAGGAAGTACATGGAGCGAAGGGCCCCCTTGGCCGACCACAAAATGCTCACCCACTTCGCCACTCTAGTGGCGGAGGGGTGGTCGGTCGCTCATCAGAGCAACAACGTGGAACTGTTGGGCACCATGGCCCGCATGATGATATACATAGAGCAAACAGCCTTGGACTCAGGTCGCGCACAGCTCTCCTGGCTGCTGACCGGTTTGCAGGATCCGCCTCATCACATCCTCGTGAATCACCGGCGGCGACCAGGAATGGAGCCATTCAGCAGGCTGTGTGCCCCGAGTTGGATCAGCGCCAATTTGGCGTATGTGAAGGATTTGGATTACATCGAAGCTCGAATGCAAAACATGGGAAAACCATCAAAGGCAGCCATCCAAGCAGACGAGGAGACTCTGCCTCGTGCCAAGCCAAAGTCCCGACCCAAAGGCAAGGGGAAGGGCAAGTCAAGTCAGACTGGGCAGACCCAGGATGCCAACGACGCAGCCGAGTGACCTCTCAGACCTGCAGTCATGGCTCCACGCACAGTAGTCCCAGATCTAGTTCTTCGTCAGAGCTCCGTAGTTGTGCCTCATATCAACATGGCAGTTTTGATTTTGATGTCGAGCTTCCAGACTTAGCCTCTGAACCCTCTAGAGTTTTTAATTGCATTAACTTAGTTTTGCACATGTGTAGGGGTCTAAGATCCGCGCCCTGCGGTCTTGGAAATTTCATTCGTGAAAGCCTTGCACCAAATAGAGCCTGTAATGTTGAAGGGGGTGATCACCGCCCTCTCTGGCCTGTCCCCCCGGTTAGGTGGCGATGGACAGCGCCACGAAGCCTGAACCCCAAGCGGAGGCGCCGTCACCGTCTTCTGAGAGCATGCCATGAGCTTTTGAATATTGTCTTATGTTGCTTGAATTGGGAGATGCTTGGGTTTCCAACTCATACGTTGAGTCACGCCCAATTAGGGGCGCCAATCTCCAGCGCACAGCATAGCATCATTGAAAGAATCACTGATTCCTTGATGCACTATCTTCGCATGGAAGATTTCACTGGTGATTTTCTCTCCCGGGCAAAGGAAAAGTTTTCAGGCATAATTCAGAACATCCAGGAACTGCCTTGGTGTAAATCAAGGTTAGAGGACCTAACTCAATTGGCTGAGCATGTGCATTCCGGCCTTGATCCATATGGTAACAATCTGCCATCGAATCAGGGTAGGACTGATCAGAATGATTAAGCCCAGAATCATCAGTGTGATTTCGACTTTTGCCACAGCAGTGCACGCAATCCCAATCCCACAAGTGCATTGCCTGTCGTGTCGGACCGTGTGAAGTGGAAATGCCCGCCAAGCTTTGCCGCGTCCGAGTTTTTGGATGATCCCCTGTTGAAAGCTGCATATGAGAACCCCGAAGTCATGCGGAACCCCCCTGACCTTTGGGAGCGGAAACGTGTTGCCAAAGTTCACTGTTCCAGGCGTGAGTTTCTCAAACTTGCAAAACGATGGGATGATCTTCACGCATGCTGTCTCATTGATGCCAACCTGAAAGACATGGACGAAGCTGTCGGTTTGTTTTGTGTCCCAAAGGATTCCGAAAATGATCGACTCAGTGTAAACCCCCAAGTTATGAATGGCAGAATGTTTTCGTTAGCGTCAGCCACCAAAGAGCTTGCCCCGGGTTGCCTTCTTAGCATGTTGCATTTGAAGCCTGATGAAATGTTTAGGTTCAACGCAGATGATCTCTCAGACTATTACTATACCTTTAGGGTTAGCCACGACCGTGCAATTCGCAATGCATTTCGGGTTGTGGTTCGTTCTGATGAGGTTCGGGGTTTCAATTGTTTCAATCCATCTCTTGAAGGTAAACCGATTCTAATTTGCTTGAAAACCCTTGCCATGGGTGATAATCTCGCTGTTGAAGTGGCGCAGGCCGCTCATGCTTCGGTTCTGCGGACCTTGTGCGGTTCCATGAAACATGATGAGGTTCTGAGGTATAGGTGGCCAGTTCCCAGAACCGATTTTATCGAATTGCTTGCTATTGATGACCATGTGGGTATTCAGCGGGTCCCTAGATGCATTTTCGATTCTCAGCCTAGAATGCGTGACACCGAAGTGTTCGAGGAAGCTACTAGGGCGTATCAGAAGGTTGGTTTGGTTTTGCATGAGAAAAAGAGAAAGCGTAATATGACCCAGGGTATAATCCTAGGTGCAGATTTCGACGGCTTGGCCGGTCGAGTGATGGCACCTCGACAGCGGATCCTTGTGTTGAGCATGATTTCCATTGCCATTGCACATCGTGGTACTTGCACACCCCATCTTTTGCAGATCGTTTTAGGTTGCTGGATCCATGTGTTGCTGTTCAGAAGAGCTCTCTTTTCTCTAATCGATGATCTTTTTAGACAGGGTCAAGGCTTAACCAGTCATGCAGTGTTTTGCTTGAGCAATCAGGCGCGAAATGAGTTGTTTCTCCTTGCTGCATTAGGGCCCACAGCGCAGTCTGATTTGAGAGTGTCAAACGCAAACAGCATTTACGCAACTGACGCCTCCCCCACATGGGGGGCGGTTTGCAAAGCATCGGTGTCAGAACATGTCACAGCAGAGTTGTGGAGGCACAGCGAACAAAAGGGTTACTATACACGGCTGCAAAGCCCAGCCGCTGCCGTGTTGACTGAGTTAGGCATGCCATGTGAATCAGATGAGCAGATCGCCCATGAACCCTATAACTGTTGTCCTGTCCCTCCCCCTCAATATGTTCCAAAGCCCCTTAGTGAAGGTATCCTTTTCGATTGCTGTGGAATCTTTCGAGGTTCAGGAAATTGGAGCACCGTGCACAACGCTAGAGGGTTGACATGTCATGATGGGTTTGATATTGATGGTAGGAGACTTAGATGCGGTGACCTTGCGAGCCATGCCACTTTCCGTGAATTGACCAGCCTAGCTGCAAGACGTGTGGTTCGCGAGTGGCATGCAGGAGTGCCGTGTGTGAGTTTCGGAACTTTGAGGAGGCATCAGGTCAGATCCATTGAAGTGCCTTACGGGTTCAATTCCGATGATCCGTTTACCGCATATCGCAACATGCTAGCCCGCAGGACTGCCATGATCCTGACTATTGCAGTGATGATGGGGCAGTTCGTCAGTGTGGAACAGCCGAAAAACTCCAGACTGTTTTTGCTGCATTGTTACCAGACTCTTGTCCGACTGTGTTGTGTCCCATTTCGCTTTTTGTCGTTTTGGTAGTGCGTTTCAGAAGGCTTCAAAATGGCTGCATAACAAGCCCTGGCTTTTGAAATTTGAGGGTTCATGTCAATGCCCCCGTGAGCATGAGCATTTTGTGATTCGAGGGACTTTTACTAAGGACCGTTTAGCTGAGTTCAAATCCATGTGTCATCCTTCATGTTCGGAAGTCTATGGTCATGAACCCATCTTAGGATCCTCCGTCGCATCGTTTTCCTCAGCGTATCCTATGCGTTTGGTTCATGGGATGGCCAGTGGTTCATTGGCTGCAAAACAGGGCTCCTGTGAGTCGATTCCAGTTTCCGAGAAGCTCCAGTCATTGCATGAAGTGGGGTTGTTTTGCGAGGACCTTAGCATTTCAGTTTCCACCGAAGCCAGTTTCCCTTTGCGTTCATGGCATGAAAACCCTGAATGGCATTCGGAGCTTTGTGAGTTTTTGAATTTCCGTGAGATGTTTAGGTATAAATTCAGGCAGCCTGGCCACATCAATGTGAATGAGCTTCGCACTTTTAAGTCCTGGTTGAAAGCTGTTGCTAAGAGCCATCCTGATTCTCGTTTTGTAGGTCTACTGGATAGTAGGGTTACCATCGGTGCTGCAACCAAGGGTCGCTCTAGCTCATATGCTCTTAGTCGGATTCTTAAAGGGTGCATTGCTTATATCATTGGTGGTGGGTTATACCCTGGTTTGCTCCATATTTATTCCCACGAAAATCGTGCTGATGACCCCACGAGATATCGTACCGTGCGACCGCCCAGCCGGGCCATTCCAAACTGGTTTGAGGCACTGTCTCGTGGTGATCCGAGCGGCTTCGATCGGGTGGCTGCTTCTGCAAAATTTGAGAAGAACCCTGCAAGATGGTTGAGGTTTTTGCTACTGACATGTGGCGACATTGAACCCAACCCGGGGCCATATCGTGGTCCCTTGGATTTGCGTATCGGTTTTGCAGCTGCAACTGCTGACAGAATGTCCAAGTGCTTGGAGAATTTCCAAAAGTGGTGTGAGAATGAGCTGAACACACCATGGGCCAGTTTGCACTCTGATCCTGAAGCCGTAGTCTATGGCTTGCGAGCCTATGGCCTTTTCTGTTTTGAAACAGGTTTGCCTCGGTATCAGTTTGTGTATGCAATCACTGCTGTGCAGGACCGCTTGCCCCAATGCAGACCCTTGATGACCATGGCATGGCAGATTGATAAGAAGTGGCAAATTCACGAGCCTGGCGTGTGCAGGTCTGTTTTACCACCTAGTGTCATCAAAGCTGCCGCTTGTTTGGCAGTGCTGTGGCAGTGGCCTTGTTGGGCCGCCTTGGTTCTACTTGGGTTTGCAGCAATGTTACATCCTTCTGAAATTTTGGCCCTTCATCGTGAAGACCTCATTTTCCCGAGTGATATTAGTTTTGATACAGACAGCCTTTATGTCCGTGTCCGAGACCCGAAGACTGCTCGTTTTGCCCGTAGGCAACATGGGCGGATCGACGATCCTGAGATCATTTTCTTTGCTGAATCAATGTTTGGGGGTCTGTTGCCTGGCACCAAGCTATACAGTGGCTCCATGACTTTGTTTCGAAAACAGTGGAACTCAGTGATGAAACGCTTGGGTGTGCCACATACTCAAGCCGAAAACGGCGCCACGCCTGGTGTTCTCCGCGGAAGCGGGGCTACATTTTTCTATCAACAAACTGAAGATTTGGCCTGGGTTGCTTGGAGGGGTCGCTGGTCCAGGACTCGGACCCTGGAGCACTATCTCCAGGAGGTTGGGGCTTTTGTGTTGATTCACAGTTTAGATTCTGTTTCAAAAACTCGTATCTCGATTCTTTCTCAATTTGCGTGGCCTGTGCTTCGTTCTTTTCTGGATTTGCGATGCAGTGCTGGGAAAGGTGGATAGCATTCTTGAGTCTTGCTTTTGGATTGAGATTGAGTTTGAG